GTTCTGATTTAACTGACCACACCCACATTTGTGAGCATGCTCTCCACACACACACACACACACACACACACACACACACACACACACACACACATTTATGTTTTTGTGCGTTTACAGAGTCGTTTCAGTACCCGGGGTTTCAGGGTTTGCTTCAGGACAACGACACGCTGAGGCTGGGCCTGGACTTCCAGAGGATGCTACGGATCAACCACGTGCTGTACATCGCAGCGAGGTTGGCACGCACGCACACGCACAGGCACGCACATGCACGCACATGCACGCACATGCACGCACGCACATGCACGCACACTTGTGTGTTTTCAGCAGCTTGAGTAAACTAGTAAACGTGACCTGTGAGGACACAATAGTGAGTTTCCCGTAGCTGCACCCTGCACTGCAGTAGTGAGTCGGTCAGCAGGCTCAACGTGAACATCAAAGTGTTCCTGTGAGCTCTAAATCGTTTCAGTCTCTTTAAATGATGATTTGATGTTCCTGTCAGTGTAAACCTGAGGCTGGAGGAAATCGAAGAGACATTTTTCACGTTTGCTGTCCATAAATTGGTTTCATTGTTGATCCTGAAAATCAAATCCAGCTCAGAGAACAGTCAGGAATGACTCGTGACCACGAACATGCCTTTACTCAGGTGAACGTCTGCCAGTGTTTCCTGCTGTCGGCTGTACTCTGAGAGGATCTTGGTTCCCGTTTGTCACATAAACAGCAGAATGAATATTTCTGGAAACAGGAAGTGACCAATCGGACGTACTTTGGCCTCCGGATGGTTCCAGCCTGCCCAGCTGACGTTTAGCTCTGTGCTGTTAGTTTGCTCATTAAAATATCCATGAAGTCCGGGGCTGTGAGTAGGACACACACCGCGGAGCCATGGAAGAACCAAAATACGAATTCATTCATTCAGAGCGTCACAAGGACTTTCTGCCACGCAGCAGGACTTTGTAGAAAGTGCGACGGAAGTTCTTACGTCAGTTTTTTGGAATATCACAATAGCCCTTTGGAGCTTGAGTATTATTAAGATCCCTCACCGTGGTGCAGAGCACAGATCATACATGAGGATCCGTGTTTTTAGGACACGGCGAACACGCAAGGATCTGAGGCGCGCCTTTGAAGATGGCCTGAGAGCAGTCGAGACTTCATCACTAAATATGTTTTATCAGAAACATTAGAATCAACAGCAAAATCAATAATAAATAATGAACAGCTGTCAGTGTTCCTGATAGGAAGTGCATCATGGAGGGGTTGGATGGGCAGCACGTCTGACTCTGTGCTTTGACCTCCGCAGGGATCACGTGTTCGCAGTCAACCTGACGACGGCTTCAGGGGAGGTCGTCCCACAGCTGGTGAGTGCGATCGCTCGGTAAACACACAACGACATGGTTGCGTGGAGTTGTCGGGGTGTCGCCTCCGAGCGTTCCTCACACGCGGTCTTAGGATAAAATGTTCAAAGACAAATGCAACGATCTGTGAGTGCACATGAAGGCAGTCAGAGCTGTGAGGTGTGGGGCCGAGCATGAAGCTGCTTGAGCTGTAAGACATCAGACCGAGGCTGAGCTGAGCAGACCTCCGAGCAGCTCGCTGACAGGAAGCTCAAAGAGGTTCTTATACGTGCGTTTCTGCCTCATTCACATCACGACACTCACGTGTCAGAGCGTGGGTTCAGTGTATGTACGTCACCACGCAGTGCTGGGCGCCCTGTCACAGCTGGCCCTATCCATGCAGAGTTAAAGGGAGGGGACCGAGGACAGACCTCTGTGGCACTCCACGTCACAGTGGGTGTGGAAGAGCATCACCAGCAGCGTCGTGTGAAACAAAAAGTTCATTTCAGAGAGAACTGAGGGAAATGTTCTGCTTCGAGCTCCCTCCTCCTCCCGTTGCTGCAGCTCATTGCTTTGAAGTTAGTGTGTCAGGCTGCGTGACGATGACCCTCCACGTGGACGCCAAAATGTCCTCCAGCGTGAGAGAGGAGCCAGGTGGAGGTGAGAGATGCTCATGTTCTGTTGGGCAGACAGAAACCGCAGATGTTTCCTTTCCTCGGCTGGCCGTCAGCGGCGATGATGTCAGCGTGCCGCGCTGCTCGCTGCAGCCTTTGGTGCTGATGGGTGTCTGCGTGGACCTGCTGTTGACCTGCTCACGGTGCTCGCTGTAAATATCAGCGCGCACAACAAAACGCACAAAGGACGCGCTTCCTTTGATCTGCACATGTCCTCCTGATCAAAGAGAAGAGGTTATGGGGCTCCTCACGGTAATGGGCCTCCCGGTGCATTGTGGGACGGCGGGCGGCGGCAGCTCTTTGATGTGAGCTGTTACTCTCGTTATCGGTGCGCCGACCTGAGCGGCACGGCGAGGACCACGTCGGTCTGTGTGCACTTTAATCTGCAGTTATGGACTCGTGTTCTCGTCAGGTTTAGCACGTTTTACCGCGGCGCTGATCGCCCACATCTGTTCTTTTAGGGGGAGAGACGGGAATAATCTGTATCCAGCTGGGATCTAATCCCATTTCTTTAAATCCATCATGAATAAAAGGGTTTACAGGCCCGTAGCCCCGCCTCTTTCAAGCTGCAGGCTGGGCTTTTGTCTGTCGAGGTTATCTGTAGGTGTGTTTACATTTCTGGCATGGTATCAGACCTGTTGACGCTGCCTCTGATGCACGCTGAGTGTGAGTGAAATGATGCTCGCTGCGAGGCTGCACGCTGAGGCGTCCTGTTTCTATTTTAAAACCCAAATCAGCCCAAATAGGTCGCATTTTTCTGTGGAGCGATGACTCGGCAGCAGAGAAGTGAAGCATGCTGGGTTAGGCGTAGAACGTCGGTGCTGATATGGAGAGGTAGCTGTTTGGTGTTGTGGTTGAGACTGAGGTTTGTGTGTGTGAGCTGTTGCTGCTCCGCCTCCTCGCACGCGTGTTCACGTCTAATCAAACCTCTGTCCCCCACATGCTGAGAAAATCACGCCCTCACTTTCCTCTTCCTGTGTTTCAGAAGCTGACGTGGAAGTCCAACGACGTCAGCAAGTGCACGGTCAGAGGGAAGAACAGCGTGAGTTCGCCTCCACCTCTGCTTCTGCTGCTCCGTCAGTTTTCCTCACAGTTCTAACTCTGCCTTTGTGTTCCAGGACGAGTGCTACAACTACGTGAAGGTGTTGGTGCCTCGAAACGACGAGACGCTGTTTGCCTGCGGGACCAACGCTTTCAACCCGACGTGCCGAAACTACAAGGTGAGCTTCAGATGGCGGCGCGCTCGGAGCGGGGGCGCGCTCGGAGCGGGGGCGCGCTCGGAGCGGGGGCGCGCTCGGAGCGGGGGCTTTAAAGAACTCGCAGCTGCGTTGTGTCTCTCCTTCTGCAGCTCAATATTAAATTCGATAGCTTTTAAACTGCAGCGTGTCGGAGTTCCTCCAGCTCTTAATTAGACTTTAATTTTATTAATTTTCTTTACGTATTTGGCTGCGTGTGGATTATGAGACAGTCGACCATTAAGCAAAGGCAAGCTCATTTTTCCCCTCTTCAGCTTTTTCTCGTGAGTGTTTGAGGGCTGAATTACAGTCATCCCAATGAGACGTGTTCACCGCATCCTTTCACACAATCCTGCACGGACATCAAACCCACTTTACATGGACAGCCCACTTTGACCTTCACTGGACCAGACCAGTGAAACTCCCCCTCCTGTCAGAGTCAGATATGTGAATGTCAGAAGAAGAAGCCGTTTCTGTGTCTCCTACATGATGAAGAAACTCTGCAGTGAAGAAATAAACGTTTAAACTAGGAGAGAAGGTTCCGCTCGCTCGTTGGCCAGACTGTCCTGTAAATTTAAAACAGAAAGTTGTTGTTTGTTCACGGTGCTTCCTCCGCTGTTGATCCACTTTAAAAAACAGATTTCTACAGCAGACAGTCAAAAAACAGCAACTTTGATCTACTATAATTACTTTAGTGTGGGATGAAAGTCCTCAGAGTAGAGCTGTATGAGCCGTAAGAGCAGGAACAGCTCTGAAAGTTCTTAAAATACAAAATATGTCTAAACTATGAGGGGGAGGGGCTATGGCTGCGAGCTCTCTGTGAGGTCACAGCTCAGTGGGCTCATATCAGCCTCTAGGTTCAAGTGTGGAATCACTGAGCGGGTGGATGTCGGGTGGGGTTGGCACAATGTTGGGTGTTTGGATGTTGGAAAATGGGTTAGGGTGTTGGGTAGGTGGATGTCGGGTGGGTGGGGGTTGCAGAGAGGATGCTGCACTGAAAAGCTGGCAGCTGCTTTGGTCACTCGCAGGTTTCAGGCCCTTTCTCAATTCTCAAGTGAGTCCGTGCTCGTGTACTCGGCGAGTCCGGACTTGGCGAGAACGCGAGCACGGACTCGTGATTTGTACAATTGCAACACCAGCGTACTTGATGATGTCACAGGTCTGGAGCCTCTTAATTTCACTGTGAGTAATATGTTATGAAGCTTAACTTTGATCACAGCCAAACCGGTTTACTCAGGAACAAATAAAACTGAAATACACCAAACATTAACATTTAGAAGTGAGCTAAGTGACTTACATATCATGTTTAACCTCAGTGGGGGGGTTGTAAACAATGTGCCGGGAGTCCGCTGTTCTCGCCGGCTCTAGTGACCCTTGACCTCGCTGTCTGCTATGGAGCTGGCGGGTCACAGACGTCTCTGAAAACGTCGGAGCGCGTTTGGAAATATGTGATGTCTTGATAAATCGAGCAGATATATGAAGTTCACACAGCTACATTCTCGCCTGAAAATAACTTAAAAGTTTATTTTGTGACCCAGAAAGAGTAATATCTAAACGTTTTTAGCCCCGCTCGTCCGCCATTGCCACGTTTGGGTTTGGGACAAAATGCATTCTGGGATATTTAGCTGTACCAGCTACACACAAGTCACCACCGATGCATGCTCGATAAAACGGGCGGAGCGAGAACACATCCGGGACTGTTTCGCGTTCTCGGCTTGATGCGTACTTTGAACTGGAGCAGTACTTGGTCTCCGACTGATGCATGTTGAGACAGGGCCTCAGACTCTCGATCAGCTGCAGTAAAATGTGAAAAAGGATGCAAACAGGAAACGGAGAGTGTCCCCCTTCAAAGTAAAAGTGGTGCCTTTTTGGAACTTGCGGGTGCAGCAGTAAGACAGGTTTGCCTGTGTGTCCATGTGTAATAATGAGTGAAGGACTAATGAAAGGACCAATCACAGCTCAGTGGTGAGAGCGCCGTCCTGCTGCTTCTGGACGTGAGTCATTCTGACATGAACTGAAGGTAATGACTTTGATATTTTGCGAGTTATTATTTTAAAATGTTTAATTTTTTAATTCCAGTCAATTAAATGGAGCCGTGCTTCCTGCTGAGCGCTGCTGTGACTGATTACCGCAGTCGCATAAAGTGAGCGCCGCCTTTGTTTCCCGTCACTGTTTCCTAACAACTCGCTGCTGTGTCTGAGTGCGTCTGTTCTCTCCGTGCCCATTATCCTCTCAGCCGCTCAGCTCCCCCCGCCGTCACCAGCGTCGGGTTAATGAGCGCAGAGTTGACATGACGGCGTCCCCGGATCCTAATTGAAAGTGTCAGGTGGATCGGGACCCCTTGTCGAGACCTAACGACACTTTCACAACAAAAGCCACAATTTCAGGTGTCAATCCAGAACTGCGCTCTTATTTTCTTTTCCCATCACGCCGCCGTGCCGCTGCGGTTTGATTGACAGCCAATGACCCCATTTAGCAGAAGCTTTGTGTGCTTTGAAACCTCCGGTGGTGAGAAGGAAACCTGCTCACCCGAAGCTCACAGAGCGCTCTGTTCCCCTGGGAGGAGCTGAGCAGGCGACACCTCTGACACGCGGCGCTTTCATCATCCAGCAAAGAGCCGTTTTGTTAGCGAGGACCTGGAAACGCCTTCATCTTCTCACTGCTCTGAAACAGCCAATCACCTCAACGCTGCTGTTAGCTTTAGCACAGGTGCCCTGAAGGCTCATTTCCAGCTCCAGGCTTTCGTGCTGGGACTCACTCAGGGCTAGGGATGGGTATCGTTTAGGTTTTATTGGATACCGGTGCCAAATCGGTACTTTTGGAACGGTGCTTAAAGAATGGAGAACAAACTTTGTCCAAAAACCTCGCATGTTTTTCTTTTCAGCATTCTCTTTTTTTCTGCAAAATGATAAGCACCGTCCAGCCCCACGCACGGGGCGATGCGCGCTGACTCTCTAATGGAGATTTACCACACCCGCAGTAGATGTGCTCGGTGTGAGGTCTCGCAGCAAGCTATCAAATACGGCGCATTTCTCTGCTTTTAAAAAAACGCTATGCGTCGCCAGGTGTTTCATCGGATTCGAGGTGTTACCTCCTTTGACAGTATCACAGTATCAGCTTAAAGCACTTGTTGCAGGCTGCTGAGTTTGCATCTTTTGCTGTGAAGTACAGCCAGACTTTGACCGCTTCGCCTTGGACATTTTTAATCTGTAGCTCTGCTCTAAAAGAACGTACGTACCTGGCCCCGCCTACTACGCTTGGAAAGGTAAAATGATTGGCTAGAATCCAAAGTGTATGACATCTCTGGAAAAATAAGCACCGAAATAAAGCAGAGGTGGATAAAGTGTTGAAGAGAGAGGGAGGGTTGAGCAGAAAGGTCAGAGCATGGAGTCAAAGATGGCGGCAGCGGCGCCTCAAGGCCTGCAAACGGGTGGATTTATGAGGCCCCGATTCGCCTAGCGTAGCCGCTGCACTGACAGTGAAGTACAAGCTGAGCGCTCTCAGCTCGCTACGACATCATCAGTACAAAAAGAAACTCATTATACATTATTGCTACCACTGCAGGCAGGTCAAAGGTCACAGCCCGCTCAGCTGATCTGCGTTGTCATAGACAAGGGAGTAACAGAATGCTTGCTGCTGTCTGTTGTCTGGGATTTGTAGTTTAATCTGTATTTTTACTTTGCTCCACACACTCAGATGACCTCGCTGGAGCAGGTCGGGGAGGAGCTGGTGGGTCAGGCTCGCTGTCCCTTCGAGTCCGGTCAGTCCAACGTGGGACTGTTCGCTGGTGAGTCGACTGTAACTGGGTCAGCGGCGTTTCTGTTCCAGCACACACACATAGAAAAATAGGATGTGGTTTCTGTTGGATGGTCCAAACAAGGACAAACGAGGCTGAAGGTGTTTGATGTGTGGAGGTGAACAGGTGTGCTTCTTTATCATCCCGTGTAAAAATGTGACGTTATACACCTGCCATGTTTCTCAGGTGGAGACTTCTACTCGGCCACCATGACGGACTTCCTGGCCAGCGACGCCGTCATCTACAGGAGCCTGGGCGAGGGCCGCCCCGTCCTCAGGACCGTCAAATACGACTCCAAGTGGCTGCGAGGTGGGTCACGGCTCCATCGCTCGCGCGTTCGGATGTCGTGCAGTTTGTTAACGCACGTAACTCGAGGGTGTCGTTTATATCGGTGTGGCTGACGTCTCGCACGGCTCACGTAAACCCGCTGAAGCCGAGGCTCACTGCGAGCCTGCTGAGGCTGTCCGCATACTTCTGCTGTGGTGAATCACACCTGCACGCCACGAAGCCGAGGGCGACAGCATCTGTCCCAGGATGCGACACGTTCCTGTGACCAGAGTAAACGCCGCACGCGTGAGCCAATCGCGGCACTGTGCAGTGGCTGTAGTGTGACGGTGCAGTGAAAGCAGCTGTTATCAGCTGTAACCATGGCGATGAGCTGATGCTCAGAGCGACGGTGACACGTGACAGACGTGATCGCTGATTAATCTGTCCTCCCTCTGCAGAGCCGCACTTCCTGCACGCCATCGACTACGGGAACTACGTCTACTTCTTCCTGAGCGAGATTGCAGTGGAGTACACCACGCTGGGCAAGGTGACACTGTGTGTGTG